CTGCCTCCCTCCCCCTCCCCCCTCCCCCCTCACCTGCAGCTTCCGCCTCTCCTGACCCGCAGCCCTTGTGCCTGCCAGGTGCTCGGCTTCCAGCCTCCGGAGGGCCTCCTTCTGCAGGGCCTGCGCTGCCTGGGCACTGCTCAGCGCGTTCTCCGCCCGGTGCTGCCCTGAGCAGGCCGGGTGGATGGAGGGGCAGCTAAGCCCAGGAGGCCGGGGCCCCACTGCCCGGACGGTCACCTGGGTGTGGGGTGGCAGGGGGTGGGGGAGGCCCTGGGGTGGCCTGGGGACCCGCTCCCGTGTCTGGGCTCCAGACCCTCCCGTCCTGGGTCTGGGCTGCCCATTTAAGGGTGGTAAGAGCAGGGTGGTGGGGGGTCTGGCAGGAGGGGTCTCTGAGGAGCGGCAAGGGTGGAACGCAGCAGGGCTGAAGCCTGCGGTCAGGGAGGAGTAGCAGGGCAAAGGCCCTGGGTGGGGATTGCTAGCAGATGGGCTGGGCCTGAGAGAGCTTGGGGCCTCACCCCTGGGATGGGAAGCCTCTCCTGGTCAAGGTGGACAGGGTCCTGAGACCGCACACCAAGGCGGGCAGGGGAGGGAGTCTCAGGGGAGGGAGGGGGGAGGCTCAGGGGAGGGACGGAGCGCACCTTCTTCGGCCTCAGCCAGGGCTCTCTGCAGCTGCTCCTCTCGGTTCTGAGCTTGGAGGAGCTCACTCTCCACCCTGGTCAGCTGACCACTCAGGCTGGCCACCTGGTCACGGAAGTGGTCCTGGGCAGAAGGGCTGAGGTCAGGGCAGCAGCCGGCGGGGAGGCCGAGGTGTCCACTAGCCAGCCGGGCAGCTCAGGGTGGACTGGGGCTCTGTGGGGCGGGGCGCGGGCTGAGCTGGCCTGGATGGCTGTGGGCTGCAGGGAAGGCCGCCCCAGAGCGAGGCTGAGCGGACTCGCTGGCCTGGAAGAGCGGCTGCAGAGCGGACTGGGCCCAGAGTCCAGGCTCGGGGTGAGGCCGTGCATCTCCACAGCCCTGCCCACCAAGGTCCTGAGCCTCAGGTCACCTGACAGGTCAGGAGACGGCCACGGGCCGGTGCTGTCCTGGGGGCCGGAGAATGTGTGAGGCACCCTGGGGAGAGCGCCCTCCTGTGAGGAGCTGTCCACAGCCTCCAGAGACATGTCTTCCCAGCTGACAGGGACTGGACTCAAGGGGACACGCTGTGGTGCCAGTCCCAGGGAGTCTGGTGACTCTGGGCCCAGGAGGGTTGGTGTGAGGGGCGGTGGCGTGTGTGTGTGTGCCGGGGCGGCCCACACGCAGGCCCGGCTCACCCTCTCTGCGGGTCCCAGGACGGGCGGCCGGAGAGGACTGGGCCCCACCTTACCCGCTCCCGCTGGGCATCACGGAGCGTCCGCAGCCAGTCCTGCAGCGCGTCCCACACCGAGGACACGTCCACGTCTGCTGGCGCTTGGTCTCTGGGGGTGGGCGAGGATCCCCGGAGCGGCGAGGGGGCTCTGGTGGGGGAGCTGCCAGGGCCTGTGGAAGATGACAGCGGGGCGGGCGTGGGGGCGTGGAGGGGGTGGGGCGTGGGGGGCCGTGGGGGGGTGGCGGCAGGCGTGCCAGGCTGTCCTGCTCAGGGGAACGGGGCTGGGCGGGACAGATGCAAATTCCTGAAATTGCAGAGAGTGACCCAAACATCTTGTTGTGGGGTTTGTAAGACCCGAGGGCCTGGGGTGCTCAGGCTAGGGACAAAGCCGGGGTGGAAGGAGGCTGACCTCTTGCAGGGGAGCGAGGTCGCTCCGGAGAGGCCGCCCGGCTCCGGGCCTGGAGTCCCAGGCTGTGGCGGAGCGTGACGCACAGCCGGACCAGCTGCGCCTCTGCGTCCTGCCTGGCACGCTCAGCCCGAGCCAGCTCCTGCTCCAGACCGCGGACCCGGGAGTTGGCGCTGTCCAGGCGGGCCCCGAGGCTGTCGGCCAGCCCACCGGCCTGCCGCAGCCCGCCCGTGAGGCTGTGCAGCTTGGCCCGCAGGGTCTGCTCGGTCCCCCGGCTCTCACACAGGCTCCCCTCCAGCTGCTGTGCCCAGGCCTCCCCGGTGGCTTCGGCCTCGGCCAGCTTTCTCTGCAGAGCGTGGACCTGGAGGGGGGCGTGGCACTCAGGGGACGGTCCAGGCTGGACGGTCAAGGACGCGGTGGGCCTATCTGTCCTTTGAAGACTCGCCCCAAGCCCTCCGGCCTCCCCAACCCCGGCCCGCCACAGCCGGGCCTGCCTCCTGTGAGCGTCTGCCCGGCAACAGCGCAGCGCCCTTGGCCCTGGGCAGCTCTGAGCTGCGCAGGCTCCGAGGCCGCCATCTGAGAAAGCCCAGCCAGAGGTCCAGGCTGCGGCCTCCTGCCCGGTCCCACCTCGCCCACCAGCCCTTCACCTGCCACGGCAGGCCGGTCCCCCACCCCGGACCTGGGTGTGGTCCTGGCCTTGGGGTGCAGCCTGCTCCCCGCCAGTGCCCACCCAGCCAGTGCCCCCCGGCAGTACCCCCCAGCAGTGCCCCCTGGCTGTGCCTACCCCCAGCAGTCCCCGCCCCCGGAAGTGCCTTCTCCCTCAGCAGTGCCTGTCCCCCGGCAGTGCCCACCCCCCGGCAGTGCCCACCCCCCGGCAGTGTCCACCCCCTGGCAGTGCCAACCCCCTGGCAGTGCCCACCCCTGGCAGTGCCCACACCCCCAGCAGTGTCCCCTGGCAGTGCCCACACCCCCGGCAGTGCCCCTGGCAGTGCCCACACCCCAGCAGTGCCCCTGGCAGTGCCCACACCCCCAGCAGTGTCCCTGGCAGTGCCCACACCCCGGCAGTGCCCCTGGCAGTGCCCACACCCCCGGCAGTGCCTGCCCCTGGCAGTGCCCACACCCCTGGCAGTGCCCACACCCCTGGCAGTGCCCACACCCCTGGCAGTGCCCACACCTCTGGCAGTGCCCACACCCCCCGCAGTGCCCACACCCCCGCAGTGCCCACACCCCCGGCAGTGCCTGCCTCCCCGGCAGTGCCCACACCCCCGGCAGTGCCCACACCCCCAGCAGTGCCTTCTCCACACGTGCGTGTGGATGGGGACTGTGCGGGCTGCGGTGTAGGGACAGCTCTCTGAGCTGGGGCCGGGCCGGGCTCTGCTCACCGCCCTCTCCGGGCGGCTGCAGGGGCAGGTGTGGGCTCTGGGCACTGCTGGCATTCAAAGTGGCTGTGCATGCACAACCCTGGGTCTGAACTGGGGAATCTCTGTCCCCGCACGGGGCAGCGGGGACTCTGGGGAGCTCTTCTGGGCCCCTGCTTCAGCACAGAGCACAGAGCCCAGTGGCCTGGGCTGGGGCTGCCCAGGGAGGGGGAGGCTCCAGGGCGGGAGGGGAGTTGGGGGCACAGGGACCCCTGTCGGGTGGGAGGCCTGTGGGGTTCTTGCAGCTGAGGGCTGGGCATATGTCCGGCAACCTGAGGCTATTGGAGAGCCCAACCACTTGAGGGCTCCCTGCCTGTCCCCTGCTTAACATACTATGTGAGCCGGGCGCGGTGGCTCACACCTGTCATCCTGGCTACTCTGGAGGCTGAGATCAGAGGATCACGGTTCAAAGCCAGCTGGGGCAGGAACGTCTGTGAGACTCTTCTCTCCAATGAACCACCAGAAAACCAGAAGTGGCTCTGTGGCTCAAGTGGTAGAGCACTCACCTTGAGCTGAAGAGCTGAGGGACAGCGCCCAGGCCCAGAGTTCAAGCCTCATGACCAATAAAACAAACAAAAATTCTGCTATGTGGCATCTGTGCAAATCTTGGTCTTTTTTCTAACACAAGGCCCTGGGAAATCAGGGCAGGCACTGCTGATGCAGCTGGGGGCTAGCCTCCCCAGCCTCCCTCCAGCGTCCCCTCCCCCCGCCCCGGGACCCCCCAGAGCTCCCCACAGATCTAGCAAGGCCCAGTGCATCCTCCGAACAGGGCTGCTGGCTGACCTCTTACCTCCTTCTGGGCCCCGGCACAGGCTGCCTGGGCCTCCACCTGCCTCTGCAGCTCCGGCCCTGCCTGCCAGCCCTGCTGGGCGTCTGGCTGGCTTTGGGCCTGCAGCTTGCTCAGTTCTCAGCCTCCAGGGTCCTCCCCTGGGCACAGGGGTGGCGGGGACGGGGCAGCGCTCAGGGCCCAGGGCCTGCTTGCCTCGTGGTTCCTCTCGGAGGCTGACCATACTCAGGGAGCCTCAGCTTGTCTGTCTGCCTCTGGGCAGGGCCTCCCTGACCCCCAGGAACCAGCCCCAGGGCCGCCCTCAGCCGCTCTGCAGACCTGCTTTGGTGCGCACTCTCTGGGTGAAGACCCTGCCCAGAGTGTGGCCGGGAGAGGCGGCTGCCAGTTCTAGCTCTGCCTCCTGTGGTACTGCCCCACAGAAGTACAACGGTAGACTTGCGCCGGCTGGCCATGGAGCAGGCCGGGAGAGGGCGGAGGGGCGGCCGGCCGGGCGCGGGACCCTCGTACCTGTCGGTGGCATTCCTGCAGCTGCCGGCCGGCGTCTCGCCGCGCCTGCTCCTGCTCCTGCAGTCTGCCCCTCAGTGTGCAGGCCTCCTGGCGAGCTGCCTCCTGGGCCTCCTCTAGTACCAGGAGCCTCTGCTTCTGCTCCTGCGTGCACTGCTCCAAACTGAGAGAGGGACACAGGTTGGCCGTGGGGACCTCCCCGGGCGAGACACTGCTGGTCCCCGGAGCTGGCCGCTGCAGGACCCCGTCTCCTTGGCGCCTGGGAACATGGCCCCTGTCCAGGATCCATTGCTCGCTCTCAGCCCCTCATTATATCACCCCTGCCCTCCTCCAACACATGCTCAGAGACCCCGTGTCCGGTCCAGCAGGGACTCCCACAAGGACCTCCCCGAGCCTGCCGGATGGGAACTCCAGGAAGGCCCGGCCTGGGCGGGCGCCGGTGGGCCTCTCCTGTGGGTCCGGCCCAGGCCCTGGGCACGCCCGGCGTCTCCCTCTGACGCGCCTCGGCCCTGTCCCGCCGGTGGAGCAGGCCTCAGGCGCTCGGAGCGGCCGTGGCCAGCCGTCCCCATACCTGACCCGCTCCTGCTCTGCTCTGCGGACGGCGGCGCGCAGCTGGCAGTTGGACTGCTGCAGCACATCCTTCTCCTCGGCCGCCTCGCTCAGGGCCCGGCGGGCGTCCCGGGCCTCCCTGTGCAGCCTCTCCCGCCTCTGCTCACTGCCCCGCAGCTCCCGGCGCAGCTCTGACAGCCCTTCCTGGGCCACGTCCAGCTGGGCCCGCAGCCCTTCCACCTGGAGGGGGGAGCATGCGCTCTGGCGGCCTGCGGGGGGCCCAGCTTCCCCAGGGTGCCCTCCACCTTGGCCCCCTGGGCCGGCCCGGGTCACAGCCCTGAGCACACATCTGCTCTGCTACCACCGCACACAGCCGCCGACGCAATGCCCGCCATCGCTGGCTGCCCGTGCCTCCTCCTCTCTCTAGCAGTGTGGCACGGGCACAGCATGCCCCAGAGCCTCGGCGGGGTGAGAAGCCCAGGGAGCAGGCACGGCTGCCCCGCAGTCGGGGTGTGCCGGCCACGCCAGCTCCCGTCCCTCCTCCTCCTCCCCCCTCCTTCCTTCCCTCCCTTCCTCCCTCTCTCCTTCCCTCCCTCCCTCCCTTCCTCTCTTCCTTCTTCCCTCCCTTCCTCCCTCTCTCCAATCCTCTCTCCCTCCAATCTTTCCTCCCCTCCCTTCCATTCCTCCCTCCCTCCGTTCCTCCCTCCTTCCTTCCTTCTTCCCTCCCTCTCCCTCCTTCTCTTCCCTTTCCTCCATCTCTCCCTCCCTTCCTCTGTCAGTGGGTTGGAGTGAGGAGGGAGG